TTAATAAAAATTTATTAAAATAATATAATTTTAAAATATTTTTTTATTTTCTTTAAAAAATAAGATGGATAAGTATTATTTCTTAATAATTTTATATCATGATATAATTTAGATAATAAAATAAAAATATTAAATAAAAAGTAATTTAATATTATAAGTTATTTAATTATTTATATTATACAATTTAAATTGTGTGATATTTTTTATTTAAAAATACCTTAGTTTAGTTCAAAATCTCGTGGTTATATTTTTTTAAGTAAAATTAAGAAGAAATAAATGTCTGAAAAAAATATATCAGAGCTGTTTTTAAAATTTGTACTCCAAAGAAAATTGCAAAATTTTTACTAGAATTATGTATTTTGGAAAACTTTGGTCAGGGAATAGGGATTGTGGTATACTTATGTGTAAGTAATAATGATACGATGTTTTATCAGTTATCATGTGATCTATTAGTAAAATTATTTATATTTGAAATTATAAATTTAAAGTTTAATCTCTAATTATTATATATGAAAAATAATAATAATAATAATAATAATAATGATGTGATATCAATTATTAAGTAGTTTATTAGTATTTTTTTAATAAAAATAAAAAAAATTAAAGTTTAAATTATATAATATATAAATAAATTTAGTTAAAAAATAAAAAATAATTACTTTTTATTTAATAACTCAAAATAAAAAATAATAATAATGTGATATATTGCACTTATAATAAGTAATATTTTTTTGTCTAACTAATAATGATGTGATATCCTACTAGTAAAAAATGTTTTTTAATAAAAAATTATAATAAATACATGACATTACTGCTAAACTAATAATGTATATCAAATTCAAAAAAAAAAAAGTATATTAAATTATGCGTTTTCCTTAAGTGTGAAAGAATCGATCATAAATATTATTGCTCCATATATGAGATTACGATTACGTTGATCAATCAATTTCCCTATAATTTTAAATTAATTAACTTGTGCAATGATTTGTTTATATCTAATAAAGGAATTAATTTAAATGTGGAATTGGTGGGTGGATTAGTGGGATGAATCTGCTGCACCATCAAATAAACCATTCCCATATCATAATTAAGCGAAGAATCAATCCAAGTATTCTCTTACCCAAAAAAAATCCATTTGTCCTTTCCTGGGTTAAATTCTAGATATAAAATTTTGAGAATGACTTATATTAGATTAATGTGAAGATTCACCATTTAAATTACTTAAATAAAAATTATTTCTAAAATAAATACAATTTAATTCAAAAATATCTTGACAATTCAAATTAAGAAAAATAATAATATACTATCAAAACTTTTTATTTTTTTAACTCTATATTTAAGTTGAGAGAAATGATGAAAAATGAAAAGAAGGAGAACTTTTTTCTTTTATTTTCTTTCATCTTGCTATTTCTTTTATTTGGATAAATAATTAAATGAAAAGAAAAAAAATAAAATAAAATAAAATTTCTCTCTCTTTCCATTTAATTTTTTGAATAACTAAATAAAAATTTTTTACTCTTCCTATTTATTTTTTTATTTAAATATAATATAAATTTAACAAGATATATAATTTAAAAATTACCTAAAATTTTTTGTAGTTAAGATTTCCTATTCAAATTATGAACAAAATGGAAGACTACAAGGCGGGGTCAGTATCTACCAAGGATAATGAAATATCATCCAAGGACAAATTGTTATTCTTTTCCATCTTAATCAACTTATTTAATACAGATGCCGTGATGAGGACTACAATGAGACTTGCCTTGGCTTGGACCTATTAACCAATCACTTTTGTCATTATATGGGTAGCCGAAGACCTATCTACACCACCAAAATCTCCATTTGGGAAATCTTATAATATAAACCAAATGAAAACATTCGGAGTATAAAAAAAATAATATTATGTAATCGAGATTGAATTTTTTAAGCTACTAAATTGGACTTGGAATATTAAAATAGAAATGGAGTGTGAGTGGGGGAAAAGGTTCAACAATCTCATTATGGAGTTGGGGAATTGGGGTAGGTGAGGACTGAGATTGCATAAAATAAAAATACATGGTTTGGGTGTGGACAAGTGACCAAAATATAATGCAGCCAACTAGGGGTAAACAATTTTTAAAAATGACTATGCATTGGTTAGTGCAACCGGACCGAAGACCATGGTTTTGTCTCACGTGTACATGTTCGAAGAATCCACAATTTTTATCTGAGCTAGAGTATCCACATTTTGAGATATGCCTTCATTCAATTTAAATTTGATTTTGAGCTTAATAATATAAGAAGTGTGTCAACAACATAAATAATTTAATAATTATCTATTTTCACTGAAAATAAGTGATTCTGAATTCAAATCACATAACATGCGAGTGAAGTGAGATAAAAAATGAGAAATAATTGTCTTTCATTATGTAATAAACATTAAAAATATATATATACAAGAAGTGTTAGGAACACCCACTTTAATATTAATATTCTTTACATAGTTGGGTCACATAAAATATAAAATTTAATGTGATTGATAATTAATAATTGATATTAAAATTAAAATTTTAAAATTTTAAAATTATAATCAATCATATTAAATTTATGTTATGGATTTCAATCACATAAAACGTATTCAAAACTATCCTTAACATTCCTCTAATAATATTATCGAGCTATTTGAACTCATTTTGTAAAAGCTCTCAAATTATACTTTTTGAAGCAATAAGTTTGTCTAGGTCGAACTCAAATACCTTAAAACTTAATTCGGCCCAATAATGAATGGGCCTAATACTTTTCTTGAATCTCATAAACTCTACTAATCATAAGACTAAAACGATCCAAATAACAGACAATTTTTACATTTTGTATTTAAGATTTGTAACAATTTTAGGGTTTTTTTTTTTTTTTTTGATATTGAATTACAGCAATACAGAATAAAAAATAAATATTTTTTCATCTTTTAACCTATTCCACCTGCATATTATGCTAATCAAACTCTAGATGTTTTACTTCCATTATACGGAGACGCCTTGTAACAATTTTAGATGTTAAAATGTAAGAATTACATGAGTTAAATGTACAATTTTGAAACACCTATCAATTTATACTTAGGATTCACATATGAGAGTTAATCATGAATCATAAACCGTTAAATGTACTTTTCTGACTAACTAATGTGAGCGTTACAGTGCAGTTCCACGTCTCTTCTCCAGAAGGACATGCTATGTACAAAGCAGGCAGGATAAGTGTCAACTTTAGACTACAAATCTAAAACCAGTTTTTACCGAACTCGAGTTCTTTTCCTTCCTTTCGTTGTTGAAGTTTCTGATTTTTGACTGGCACGCCCACGTCCAGCTTTCTTTGGCCGTGAAAGACCCTTCTGGGTCACGGTCACAGCCAAGGACTCCATTGATGGAGGGGAATCCACATTGAGTGGTTTTTCACTTCCATGATGACTCCCACCAATTGCATTCCTGGTATTTGCCACTTTTCCTGGAAGTTTACCACGATTACCTGCGCGAATGGTTCGAGGCTTTGCAGGAGGCTTACGCATGGGTGAGCTGGATGAAAGAATGGATGTGGAAGGCTTGTGGCCAGAGCCCTTTAAATGCTGCTGCAACATTGCCGTTACAACGCGTCTCAGGAGAAATGCAGATTTATATTCCCTGGTATTCTTGGAATAAAATACCAAGGCATTGTTGGCTACTAATAACATATCCCGGTAGAGTTCCTTAACTGAATTGAGAGAACGACTGGCAATTCTTGAACTTATGGTGTCAAAATCCATGTGCCGTAGAATCGTTTTCTTGTATCTTCCTCTCTTCTGTTAAAGGAGAATTAGAAGTAGACAGTCATGGTTCTTGCATGTGCATAAGAAAATACATAAGCAAAAGTCTTCATCATAGATAGAACTATCTATTTAAACATGAATATCCAAGCAAGATGACTTTTGATTTAGAACTAAGAAAGCATAACCCAGTAATAAACCTAACATCATCCATACCTGACTATCAAGTGGTCGACGAAAGACACAAGCATATTCATTCTCTGCTACAGAGCTGAATACCGCCATCAGATCATCATTCACTTCCTTGTTTGAACATCCTGTCTGATCATCAACACCAGAGGATCTGGCAATCTGAACAGAGTTGCTGGTTGATGTTTCTTTACACCGTGATGCACTTGCAATGTCAGCAGAACCGAGAAACTCACTTTCTCCAACACTCCCTTCTTTGACATCCCTACTACAATCCTTTCTCTTCCTCTTACCTCTTCTTTTCCTTGTTCCCAGAAACTGTACCCCACAAACAGTTTCTGTAGGCTTCTCAATGCTCACTTTCTCTCTCTCAGAAGACTCTGAAACTTCCAGTTTAACATCCATCTCTTCAGCAGGCACTGCTGCTGGGAGCTGAGATTCAGGCAACCACTTTGTCTGGGCCTCTTGTGTGAAACTACCTGCAGACAATCCATCCTTAGATGTGTCTTTACTAGAAGATTCAATCCCATCAGACTTGAGAGAGCGCAGCTGTGATTCTCTCTGGCTAGAATCACAATCCACTGGACAATCATCTCTTTTCTCAGCCTTTAGACTTTCAAGCTTCGATTCCAGGGACCTAAAACAGAGCATAATGAGTCAGGCCGATTGAAGTTCAGGGAATTCAACTTTCAGGGCATGAAGGAGCTGTGAACAAATCAACAAGAAGCAGATCACTGGGCTTATAGATGGCATGCAGTATTAAGATAAATTTATGTCCATAGATGTTAAGAAAATTGAAAGATCAATAACCAATCATACTCAACAAACTCAAAGAGATATGTAGATACAACATTCAGTTCTTATTACTGGGATGATTCAATCAAATTAATAATCAGGACCATATCAAAACAAGCCTCCCAGGACCCTACTTTTCTGAACCAAAATTGGGTAGTATCACTACTTCAGCATATTGTGACTTTTAAGGTGCCTAACTTTGCATTGAATAAGGTTTACAGCCAGAAATTTTTTTTAGGAATTTGGTATTTTCAGGACCTCATTTGCTAAGCTTATTTTCACGGTACAAAGATGTGTTCAAGGAACAGGACACTCACTAGAAGCACCACGCATTTGCTCAAGAGGAAAAATTTTGCACAATTTCCTAACTTGGAACATCTGAATGGGAACAAAGACCAATTACTCACCCAATTGAATCTTCAGATTGCTCCAAAGCTTGCCTCAGCTCTATCATTCTTTGCTTTCTGAGCTCCTCAAACCAAGCTCTAATGAAAAAGTAAGATAAACATTAATGATAGATAAGTTTATTGCAGGATTCACTATGTACAACAATCTTATAAATTGTTTAGTCTTTAAACACTTGAAATGGTTACTTACTTGCAACCTGAATAACGCTCTTGCAAATCCTCATACTTGGCTTTACAGACCTGCATTAGTTACCACATATATTACATTAAATATACAAAACAAATGATACCAAGGAGGTACTAAGTGGATCTAGAAGAGCATCACATAAAATTACTCAAATGCAAACATCATTAGGAAGCTTGGCTTCTCCTGAATCCTCAATTCATTTTACACACTTAAGAGTAATACATTGAATTCATAAATGTCAAAAAAATGCAACAAAATTAGTTATCAAGTGATAACTAACACAAGCCATTTTTGTCCTCTCTTCATTTTTCTCAAAATATCGAATTAGTGGACATACACCTAAACAAGCTCATGAAGTCATTAGCATCACAATCATGTGAACAG